CACTGCCTTCTCTGCTGTGCTAACTGATTGTTCTTCCAGATCTTCAGGTGGTTTTCATATCGTACATTGGTTAGTGATTCACTTGTGACAAGTATGACATAATATTGTAAAGTATCTTAAGCAAGTCAGGAATTAGAAGATACCACTTTGTCAACTTTTGCTTAATTCTTTCATGCTGAAAGCATGTTTCAAAATTGTAAAAAAATATTCATTTTAACACATTAAGAGTTACAGCCTAAGAGTTGTTTTCTGCATGCACTAGTACAAAATGTACATTTTTGGGGTAATTTAGTCAGATGAAGACTGCTAGCTTATTGAACATTTAGAAATTGTTGCAGGAGATGACTATTCTGTATTATAAATTGTATAAAAATAAAATTTATAAATACACTGTATCTCTATTTTGATCTGCACTGCATCATAGCAAGTTCCTTTGATAAATATATCTGTAAATACAGAAGCTGGTGATTCCAGGCAAATTCCACGCAGACTGTGAGGTTGTGAGATTGCATTCAGCTGATGTTTTGCTGTTGTACTGTTTTGTGGATCATTTTTAGTTCACTCTCAAATGCAGCTTCCATTATGTGATCTCACTCATTGCAAATTCTTTCAAAAAAAGTAATTTGGTACCTTCTCCTTGTTTCATCTATATTGTCTGGTGCTTTCAAGTGAACAAATTTTCAGAAAATGCACACAATAATTCTCTTCCATGTCCATATTTGAGTTAAKTTATGGAATTTCATCTTCTTCCTCAATATTCCTAGACAAATACAAAGTCATTATCATTTTCAACAAAGCAATTTTCAATTTTCAAAAGCATTTATTTATAGTCTATAAGGTGCTTTGGTATCAAGGTTGGCAAAGAAGAGTGATGGGGCTGAAGTATTATGGCTCAAAGTATTTGCACTGTTCACAGCTGTTCACAGCACTGTTCACAGCTACTTACTTTTCCAATGTAGGCTGTGAATATAGATTTTCTAGTGGTAGTTTGTTAAGAGTATTTGAATCGTCTCTACTATCTGATATATCGTTCTGGACCACAGTTTCAGTGTCAGTTTGAGTCAGTTGGTCACTACTTGCCAAAAGTGTTTGTAATGCCATCTCTTCTACCTGATACAAAACAGAAAAGTAAATTGTCTAGTCGACCAAGATGTTTTCTAGCAAGTCTAATAAATCATGACAGACGTAGTCATAATTTAGGGAAATATTGGATTAAAGAGCTTTAAAAGTCTTTACTAGATGAGTCAGACATGCTCTTTAGAGGCTGTCAGTATAGGACTTTGCTTTCTTTACCTTTAAACGATTGAGTTGTTCAACACATTTGTTCTTTATCTCCTTAAGAAATAACTCTTCCTTTTCGAGTATACTTTTTGCCAAGTTCATTCTCGTTTCCCAATAAATAATTTCTTTTCTGKGCAAGAAGTTCTGTTCTTATTTTCTTGTTGCTTGCTTTCTCGTACGCGGCCTGGTAACGAAGCTCAACACAGGAGGCCCAAGTGTTTCCCAAGCCTTCTAACTCTCGAAAAACCGACATTCCTTTCCAGCCATTTAAGTATATCTCATCTAAATAACAATTCTTAATGAGAAAAGCTGAAAAATGGCGAAATTAAAGTTTTTTACCAATATGAAAAATGAAATTGCTGCATTAGTAGGACCACAGGCAACCTACACTCAAAACAGTTGTTTTCCTATATGATATTTGTTAAATAAAACGGGATACGATGGATTTTGTAAAATCTTGAAGTTTTTGTTCTAGTTTAAGCTAAATTCAAGACAGTTTTGTCGAATTTCGAGCATGCTTTCATTATTTACTGTTTTCGACCGATGTCTGAAAAACACGTCGGAGGGACTGGGTTTTGTTGTTTTTACGATCCCTGAAATCGAAGCAGGGTGTGGGCATAACATAGTATACAGCAAGTTCTGCGTGTGYAGCGATCATTAAAAATAATGCCTACACCTTCAGGTTTGTATCTAGGCACTCTGAGATAGCATAAATCAGTATTCCCACTTTATTATATGAAATTCAACAGCTCAATGAACGATTTGAGATAAGAAAACGATCCTCAGGCGCCTCCATTTCTGCACAGCACGGCGGTAAAGCTTGATGACTAAGAATTGTTTTTCTKTGGGCTCACTCACTCTCTGTTAATGAACAAGAGTATTGATTAATTTGTAATTMTTTYTATGGTGTTTTGACMTTTCTTAAAGTGTCAACTGCTCGAGCCGGTTCGATAATTCGGCCATCTTGCAAAGCGGAAAAAGTTTCGGCTTGTTTAATTACTTTACGTCTGGTTTTTAGGTATTAACCCAATGAATCTATCGCGGCCATCCATAGAGCGGGTATTATTCGATTAAAGAAGTTCATACTTGAAGTTTTAATAATATCAACAGACAACGGTTGTATTATATGAATGGGGTCGAATAGTCGAAGATCGAAGTGCGTGACGTCACGCTGACGAAACAGCTGCCTTTTTTTGTTTGTTTGAAGTCTGTCAATCTTCACCTTGTGTTATAGCATCATGTCACACATTTTGTTCTAATGATGCACAAAAAACACTTACATGGTCATCAATGAATKAAGTAATTGTTGAATTTTCAATGAGTTAATTGCACCTATTTTAAAATGACAAAAAGAATGTGTGTGAATGATATGCTCTGCTAGATATGCAAAGTACAATATTTAATGCAAGAACCAATGTTTTAAAATGCACAGTGGCTATTTACTATCAACAAGAAAACATYCCTAGGTATTTTCACTAGACTCAAAATCTCCTTTCACTTTAAAAGTGGGCTTGACAGAATACAGATTGTTTTTCTTTATTTTTTTTAGTAATTATGAGGTTCTTTGAATTCTATTCTGTATGTGCATAAAAGGTTTCTGGTTTGCAATTATCAATATAAATGTGAGCATATATGTTTTTCAGGTTTCATCAAAGACTGACAAAGATGGATAACCAAGTCATTAGCATTGTTATTTTATCATTTGTTTGCATCTTCTGTTGTAATTCTGGTGAGTGCTTGGATTGAAATTATACAACACCATGTATATAGAAACTAGAAATCCTAGCTTAATTATCAAGACTAACTAGACTGACATCTGACCTTGACACAACGTGATGGTATATATATTGTAAAAATATCYGTCTCAATGAATGTCAAACATCAATGTCACCAATCATCTACAATTTGTGGTTACTGTATCTTTTAAAGTATTTGATGTACATGTTCTATCATTGTTTTTTTTAGTTTGCACATTAAGGTGTTATTCCTGTTATGAAAATGGACCTTATCCAAATACTACTTGCAGTGGAACAGTAAAAAACTGCACAGAAGAAAACGCAAAATGCAACACGTATTCAATAAAAGGAAGGGATAACATGTATGACTTTACTCGTGATTGTGTARCAGATGAAATCTGCAAGAAAGATTATTGCAAGACACTAGAAGAGCAATTGCAAAAAACTAATTGCAAAATTGAATGCTGTGATACYGATCTCTGTAATCGCGATGTTATAATTCCCACAGTTGCTTCTTTTGGATACCAAGTCCAACCTTTTAAATCAGTCACTAAAGTTTTGTTTGCTTTTATCACCACTTTTGTATCAAATTTCTGCTTTTTTTGAATAACAAGTATATTATATTGTGTTAATGATGGGCAAATAAAGGAAAAAAGTAATATTGTACTTTGCAGTTGTCTGAACTGAAGGTMATTAAATAAGTTAGTGATTTTTACYACACTGAAGTACTAACTGTTACTATTGTATTAGCTAAACAAACGGTAATGTGAAAAGGAAAGATAGGATYGAAAAGAAAGATGACAAAATGAAAAGGAAGATAACCGAAAAGAAAAACATAGAGAGATACAGAACATTCTAAAGTATGGTTTGACATTTTTTATGGAGATTTTTCTCTTTAGTATTACATAATATTATTCAGAAACTGAATATATTCAATAAAAAATCTATTCCAATAGTTTACATATTTTACAAAAAGTAAATGTTATTATCGTACATGAAGTTTGTAAATGCCCTTAACACCACTATGAAGCACTTGTATCGGCAGTGGCTGACCCTATAAGGAATAATCAGAAATAAATAAAGTTTTAAATGTTATGAAACTGAAACTGTTTTATTGCTCTTTTTTGCTTTTAACTTGACAGAAAAAAAGGTGCTTGTAATAAAAAGATAAATAGGTATAGAGAATATGCAAATTTATGTAAAAGAACGAGAGCCAGAGGGCTAAATTAACTAATAAGTTTTCCAGTTAGCCCCCTGTTATTTAGTGTTACATTGGTAGTTACAGGCAAKGAGAAAAGCAATAAAACATAAGGAAAAAAGAATATACAATTAATTCTCCATCTTTTAGTTTTTGTTCATTTATATTAATTTTCTTTCRTTTTTCTCCTTTTCATTTCTCTCATTTAATCAAATTTATTAAATATCACTGTTTAGCCATAACTTCACTAACTATAAAGGTTACCTTTTCCATCGCATGCAACTACTTTTACTTTATCTGCTTTCACAATTTCTCCTAAATCTCTGAAGTCTACACTTGTAAGAACAAATGTCCAGACATTATCACAAAATCTGTAAGTGTTTAGGTGACCCTGAAATAAAGATGGAACATTATCATAAAAGTAATGCTGGTTTGGTAAATTATTATATAATTAACTCTCAGAAATTTCCCTTTGTCCCCMAAAAATTGCRACAAGCCAGGGCAGACCAACCATTTTTCTTATAAAAGGCAACCATATAGTTTCTGTGATGTACATGTAATAATGCCATAATTCTACCCTTTCACAAAGGTATTTCCCTGTGCTAGGAAACAATGTCCCTATATATTTACAGCTAACCATACAAGTAGCTTTAATCTTTCTTATAGTCATGGATATAGTACACCTTACAATCTGTTTTTCCATGACATATTTTCTTGGGTTTTTAATTAATTACTAACAAACAAGTCCAGGCTGTTCTTTACATTCACTTCAAATGGTATCAGACTTATYAAAAGAACTCACTTTAAAATTGATCTTGTTTTTTACTTTGTTTGATAGGGCATGATTGATTGCCTTGTCAAACTGGAGTARCACTTGYARTGCTAACTGTGGGCTTATTTGCTGAGACTGAAAGAGAGAACAATAAGTTACATGTTAACTCACCTTTACTAGACAAGCTTATCTTGCACTTGTTTACAGTAACATATTGTATTGGTACCAATTATGATCTCATATACAAAAGCTTTGTCCGCAAAAATGTCTATAGAAAGCATTGCTTGAAATAAGCTTTAAGTCTAAAAGCTGGCCGGACATGTAAGCTTATAAAGCTCATTTTGTTTTGTTTTTTAACCTTCTGTTTTAATATTTCAACGTATGCCAGCTGTTATCTTCAATAGCATCCAAATAATTCAGATTAAGTTGTGGATTTTACCTGAATGAGTTCGTCCAAACTCTCTTGTAAACTGTTTCCTAATGTTGTATTGCGATAAAGTTGATAACTCATCCTTTCAAATAAAATGGACCCTTTGATCCTTTGTAAAAAGCTGTTCAAGAGTCTGCACTATATACAGGCAGCGGATGTCAACATTAATTCTAGCACAGGCAACCCAACCACCCGATGGTTAAAAACCTGTCGTAAGTATTATAGATATATAAGTTTATGCTCGCTTATTTTTGTAATTAGTATTGAATTAAAGAATAAGATAAAAGAAAAAGATTTCTTCAGTTACCAGAAACCTGGAAATTTTGCGTTGTAAATAAATAACACTTTGATCTTGGGAACCCTGTGTATACTGCTGATCATTCAAAATGGCGGACAAATCACGCTCATTGTTTCTGATATCTTGCTTTGTGCTTTGTGGCTTTGTTTTTTGTAACGATGAGCTAAAAACTCTTGATGATACTACATTTGAACAYCTAACTCAAGCTGCAACTGGTGCAACTACTGGAGATTGGCTAATTGTATTGTAAGTTTGGATCATAATTTGAGCAGGATGAAAAATGCGACTGGCGCTGGGCCGCAGACTTTGACCTCAAATTTCATTATGGCCTGATCGCCCATAATCTCACGTTTCTTTGTTCTATTGTGTCATCTATTATTTTAGTGAMCGGGTCCTGGAAATTTAGTGTACACAATAATTGYAATGCAGGATTATAATAAAAAATATCCCAGATCTATCCCTTTGCATTTCCCATTTTAAAATATCAGTTATTCTAATACCAGCACTGTTTTCCTAGTTTAAATCCTCGTTCCTCTAGTTCGAGAAAACTGGAAAACCTTTTTATCAAAATACAGACAAAGTAAGTGACAGATGTTATAGTGACAGAATACATTTAAACTTCTACAAGTATAAATTATAGTGCTTGGCTGCATATTTCTCTGTCATGTGATTTACTTGACCCAGTACCAGTGGATGGAACAAGCTACAACAAGCTAACACATGTACATGGATTGTGTTTTTATTAGAGGATAACCAGCCATTCAATACAAATGACATGAACAGATCATTCAAACTGCATCTAAACAAATTATTTATATTTTTGTTACAGCAACTAATAATTCTCCTTTATTGTTATAGATTCCAACATAAGCTCAATGTAGCAAAAGTTCTTYCGACATCAAGTAGATGTGAGTCTCTAAATATTTTACATTGAATTAATAAATTTTCTTGTTCAAACCAGCCTATTTTTCAAGAAAAATATATCATTGATTAAATATAAATTAGATGTTGTTTGAATCTTATTCTAGTGACAGTTAAAAGGTTTGAAATAACCAAATGGCCATCAGTAATGCTGTAAGTGAATTATTTATATTACATATWAATTTTATAATAATGTTAGTTTTAATGTTGATGAATCTTTTTGGAATGTAAAAATATTATAATAGCCAGATATATCCCACAATTCAAAGATTAAGTCTATTTCCACAGCTTTCACCATGGCCGTCAGTACTACTACACAAGTGAACATAAGGAATCAACTCTTTCTCAATTTGTGGAGTCATTCCAAAAGTTTCCCAACAGAAAAGTGCCAGAGCCAATTACAATGTTGTAAGTATTGCTATAATTTACTGTTCCATTAGTTATATAATGATAAAGTCCACTGTATTCTTGCTAAGTTAGTACCTTGGCATTATCAATCACAGAATTCTAACTGCCATTCCTTTRCATTTTATAGTGACGTCATGATTGAAGATCTTATGGATGATGTCAAGGTAACATAAATTATCAAAAAGTTAATTTTTTTCTTTCCAAAATTTGTTTTTTGGCTTCTTTTATCTGATAAGTAGTTTTTTTTTTGAAGAAATTATCTTCAAATCATCCATGTGTAAAAATATATCCAGAAGTATAGTGATATCTGTGTCAAAACTGACAAAAAGCTTTTTTGGATGATTGTCGGCCTCCCCCGCAGGCAATTTTGTTCTTGCACAGGAAGCCCAGAGGCAAGACTACGAACCTACGGAGGAGACCAAATTGATTTGGGTGAATTGAACGACTGATCAAATAATAAAATTTTGCCTGCTTATTCAACAGGCCAAATCATTGCTTTTATAGGCCGTGTAATCACAATAATAAATTGCTGTTCTATTTTCAGCACATTGTTCGCATCAGAAAGAACGCTGCCATTGTGATCTTTTGCTCTGGGATATTGTTTGGTGTTATATTATTGCAAGTCTTGAAGTGCATTTTTGTAGGAAACAGAAACGAAGAAGTAGCAAAGAATATACAATGTAAGAAAGATGAGTAAAACGTCATAGATAATAAAATAAAAGTCAACTTGTTCTAACTGTGCTATCCTGTTATCTGTCCTTTTCATTATGGTAATGATCCAGTGGAATCCATGGGGACGGAAATCATTAGTTTTCTAATTTCAAGTTGTGTTTTGTGTTTTTTTTTTCTTAATTCCGTTGTGAGAGGAGAAAAACGCTGCAGAGTGGTACGCACTGAATCGCAGCGTTGTGGATGGGGCGCAACATCATGTAGATCTACTGCATTGTTCTCAATTTTCCTGACGTTACCATAGAAATCGCAGTAGTAGGCGAACTTCTCCCGATTCCCCAGATTTGAAGAATACGCAACAAAATCGCTATGGTGTGGATGAAGCTTCACGTTTTCAGATTTAGAAATAGGACTTTACGAAGTATTGTACTCGATTCCCTTTCAGAAAAAGAGAAGGTTCTTCAAATTCGCCCCATACTCGCGCAGTTGGGTGGATTTAACGCATCGTTTTCATGGATGTTACATTGTATGTTCTGCGTCAAAAATTATTTTCGGGAATTGAAGAAAAATAAGTCTTAAAACAAATGAATTCATTTCTGGAATACCTTCTCAGCTTCTCGGTAGCCTCAATATATGTCTCGACGCAGGATCCTGCAAATTGTATCACGCATAAAGCAATAAAACTGTTCACCARATAGAGTACTGGATATCGTTTTAGGAATTTTCTTTTATAGAGAACCTAACAAGCATTATTTTCCTTTTTAACGTTTTATCGTTAAATGCTATTATTTTCAAATACTAAAACAAGGAGACTAAAATGAAGATCTTGACCAAATGACCTCRGCCACGCCTTTCTGTCTTCCAATTTTGTGTTTATCAAAAACTGCCCTGTTACACCTCTCRATTTCTACTTCAACCAGTGTGTTCATGCCTATTGTTATAGCGGTGTTATAAACTCTTAAACTTGATTAAAACTTGCATCAATAGCGTCATTCACACTAAATATCTGTCAATAGATAAACGAACTATATACAGATTGTGCAGTGATATATATAAACAATGTCAGACTGGTGAAATAATCCGCGACGTCTATTAAATCAGTCAAACCACAGATTCACCGTCTTCCAATTCCGTGAAAGTAACTGGCCTTATTGCAGGACTTACAGGAGCCATTGGTTTAGTACGCTTTACAAGAATCCATGGGTTGCCTTTTGTGATTTTGAGTTTTTCTTCGTGATTTTTAGCCAAGCGCTTYAGTTCAGATTTCCGTCTAATATGCACTCGATATCCTTCCAAAACAAAAATRAAATTTGATGAACGATAGATGTAGGCTATGAACGTCAGCACGGCAAGAAATCCAGTRACAGGCCACAGGCAGAATACCACAATTTCTGTTAATAAATCCTTGGCTTGGATTAAATATACCATGACAGTGAATGTAAATGAAATCATGAAAAACATGATAGTCAGTGCTATACATGGACCAACTTTGTCTGTCTCTTTTCCCATGTTTTCTAAAGCGTCAGTATTTGAGTAGTTTAGATGTTGTTATTTCAAGGTCGACTCACGCTGTACTRAAGATGGCCATTCAATGTATTAACGGCTTTGATCCCGCAAGTACGCAGTTGGATATTTTTAATGACATGCGCGATTGTTCASTATATAGTCCTTATCGTGTCGTAGACTAAGGACCAATAAGCGTTTTAAAAGGTTGTTAGTATCAAGATGGGCTTCGTTAAGTGCTAAAGGTCCTGGCTTCTCTTTGTTTTACACTTTTTTCAGCATGAGCTTGCTAGCTTGGGATGAGGGTTTGTGGGGGAGGGGGGATAGGGGAGTGGGGAGCAAGTAGATTTCCATTTAGTACTTCTATTTCACAGATTAGAGCGATTTTCAATGGGACATGGATCCTAGGTCCTAGGTGAGCTGTGGATAGGATGCCCCTCCTAGAAGCACCTATCAAATATGTCCGTTACAGCTGTAAGTGATAACACACTTCAGATTTTCATATTTATTAATTTATAAATTAATCACTAAAATGACTGCTTTTCATAGTGAATGTACATCAATACAAAACTATCCTGTCAAGCACCCTAACACAGCTAGGTCTGCTAGACTATCTGTACAAAACGATTCATGACTATCAGTCAACCAAGAMCAACCTTGGTAAGCCTGTATCACAGAGTCACTATCCTATTCAATGGAAACCTAGGRACTGCTAAGTGAGGAAGAGAAGTCTGAGTCTAGCATATCTTCATTCTCATAGCCAAACCCCTCTATGTTCCCTAGGCTCTGGAAACCTTGTCATTCCAAGCCATATGATTGGCTAATTCAAATTGAAAAAATAAAAAAGCTCTAATAAAACAATGAATGCTGGCAACTGCACACCCAGTTTTCCAGGGTTTCCCCGAGGCTCTGATCTCTGATGGCGAGCAAAGAGGTTTGGGTATGAGAATGCCTTATGATCAACACCATTTAGCAGTGCCTATCTTTCCATGGATACCTTTTCATGTCTTTCTGAATTTGTGTTTTCCAGAACAGTGTCTATCCTGTTTAGATAAAGCACATTCCATATCCCCGTGAAATTAAATGAGCAAATTGATAAAGACAAAAATTGTCTACGATGCAAGTAGAAYGGATAAAGCATTCAATTAAATCCTTTTTGCGTGTGTTTCACGTGTTCACAGACTGTACTRTTTCTGGACAAAGCTAAAGAATTGCAAATTATTGTAATTGTGATTTGATTGTTTCATGCCTGCAATTCTGGATGCTTTTTACTATCATTATGTTGCAYTCATTTCAGAAAGAGTTGATTTTTTTTGGAAATCAGATGTAGAGCATGTCGATGCTTACATCATTACCAAGTCTTAGGTCATGGGAGACTGGCTAGGAATCTCATGAGGACAACCTTAGATGCGCTTAGTGAAAACGATAAATGTGGCATGCAAAATCCCAAATTTGGTGTCAATCACATCATGTGTACATCTTCCACTATCCATTCAATTAAAATGTTGACAAATCTAACTAACAGCAAACATTAGGATTTTGCATATCACAATGCTGTCTATCTTTTATCATCCTGCCTATCATTAAGGGATTCATAACCAGTCTCTCACAGCCTTAAACTTGTCAATGATTATTAAACCTCTCCCCTATTCTTGAGGCAACTTATTTTTTGAGTTGCACAAGTTTAATCCCAAGARCTAGGGCATTAAAACTGCATTACAGTCACTTTTTGGGTCATGGGAAAACCACAAGAATCCCAGCCCAAAAACTAGCTGCAAAGCAGAGACGTTGATGCACTTGTAGAATCTGTAATTGTAATGGAACTACTACGACTTGTTCACTAGTGTTAGATGTGTAAATTATTCGGAAGTTCTTTTAAAATGAGATTTAGATGAGTATACGTTATTGACTTTGATTTTTGTTTTAAAGTACATTTTGTTGTCTATATGACAAAACTTTGTAATTATATGTGTAACATCTTCATATTATCTGTACATCAACTTGAGGTTCCTATGAAAGATGACAAATTGTAAAAATATTGGACTTACATTATCCTTGGCTATTACAAATGGAACAAAAGAATATTATAATATTAAAAAGAACATAGTGGATATAGGATATACATTATTTCATTACTAATAGAAAACAAGAAGCAATAATGACATGGAAAATCTATTTCTTGCTTCTTCGCCCACAATGATTCAAACAAACCTCATGTGATTTAAACGTAATCTTATCTTTGTAGAATAAAGAAGAGAAAGTTGCATTTTACAGTAATTATATTCTTGGTACAATTCCATATTGAATTCATTGACAGTGTATTTGTACATGCAAATGTACAGTATGCATAAAACTAAAACTTGAATTATGTCCAAATGAATATGGATTTAGTAACAATTAATGATTTGCAATATTCCAAACAATGTTTTCAAGTGTTTGAGCATTTATAAAGCAAGAAAATTAAGTTTTTGGAATATATCATTAAATATTCTGAGTAATTGCTTTTGATAATGGATATGTGTCTTGTAGACRTTTATCTATTTCTATAAACCCTGTTTATACCTGTTAGCTATCCACACCACGCTATGTGAGTGTGCAAAGCCTGTATTTCTATTGTGGATGTGTTTATTTATTACCTGGTATGGATGTTACCATAAATTTATACTTAACAAAACATACATGTTGCTCAAACTATTACAAAAGTTTAAAATATCATTTATATGTTATAATACAAAAATATTGCAAGTTCAAAACTGGAAATAAAGCATACAGTAAACTTAATAGATTTAAATATATGTTTCAATATATTTCTAAGCAAAATGAATTTGATGCGCAAAGGGGTCACAAACCTGCGATTCTATCAGGGACTTCCAACTAAAATTCCATCTGGAGTTCCAGCAACGTTTTGTTGTTGGTAGTTGTAGCCCCCTTTGGACTGCATTTGTGACTGTACTTGATTTAGCTGCAAGTAGAAAATAATAATTGTTAATCAATATTGCATAATCACAAAACACGGCTTCAATTAATGTATTATAATATCGCAGACTTGAGATAAGACTATAGTTATCACATTAAAACAAAACAAATAAATAAGATATCACTCTCCTTTGTTCTTTATATCTATTTAGTAAAACAAGAATATCTTTGGTATTACTTTTGTATTAAACAAATTTGTGCATAACAAAACTGCTGATATATAAATAGATATGTAATGTTGCTTATGGTGCAAAGTCCAAACATCCCAAACCATTACAAATACAGAATTTGCATGCATTTTTCGCATGCAGTTTGTTGTTTATATATTGTTGCTTTTTTCATATATAAAGAGATATCTTCATATTGCAGTAAAACTGAAAATATGAATTACTAGACTGTGCATTCTGATTGAGTGCTGAATCATTGCAGCTAATTTTCTAGTTGTAATGCATTTTTTCATTAAAAATGCTGGATGTTCTAGGCAGCAAGAATTGTATAAAAATAATATTTTTTCTTTAATTAGCCCAGAAAGGCTTCCATGCTACTTAATTAACTAAATAATTATAGAGGTCAATTGCCATTGATTTTAAAGATGTTCAAATCAAATGTTATCATCTTGATTGAAATTCAACGTAAGTATTGTGAAAGGTTACTAAAAGGCAATCATGCAACATTCAATTGAGTTGTTGCTTTACAAMATCGTGCATTTTTGATGTACTCACTATTTAAATTGCAAGGGGGAAATTGCAAGAGGAAAAAGAAAGCAACATCATTTTCMTATTTAAACTTATAATTTTTGTCTCATTGCCTGTTCAGGGTGTAAATACTASACAATGAAACTGAAGCCTATATAACTATCTATTTTCCTTAAATGACAAGTTATAGTACCGACAGCAATTACGAAAAAAACAATATGCAAAGTGCTTTGTTCACAATCGTATATCGCATGTGTGTACTTCGCACCCCCGTTGTCTAAGTCCAAACACGATTCGCCATTTTATGAATATATGTACCACATTAATTTCACAATATACTACAACCCTGGACTTACATCAGTGCCTGAAGCCATATCGCCAGACCCTATATGTCCTGTGTGCTGAAATTCAGAAGAAAAAAAGCATAAGACCTCAATAAAATATTCACTACGTCACATTGAAGGTGAAAAAAATACATCACTCACCCTAAAATTTGTAGGTAAACCTATCATACTTCTATCTATTCTCGGTCTAGCAGGTCTCTRTGGATAAGAACACGTTGTAGACAGTTAAATATTGKCAAATTTGAACGACAATTTGCAACGAGCTTCGAGAGATTTCCTCGTGAAAGTTGGATGGTGATACTTACTGGTTGAGGTCGTGAAGTTAAACAGCAAGGAAAACACACTAATAATTCACTCATATTGTTACAGAAGCCGTGTATAACGGCTTAGACAGCTTGGTCGATCGATAGTTGCTTTAGTTCGGCCGTAAAATCATCATAAAATTAGTTTTCGTGCAAAGATTTTGGTCGACTATTACTTCCACCAGGGAGGGAGTGGTTGGGACATAAACGACCTCATTGAATCATGGTCCCGAAAAAAATCATCACGTGATGCAAAGACCACAGGGATCCCAATTACAGGAGAAGAAATGGTCGCTTTTGGACTCTTTGAAGGTAAAATAGATCAAATATTGAACCTATGACACTTTCTTACGCTATTGACATTTACGAGTAAGAAAACTAAGGGTTCCTTTTCGATTCTGTTAATCTGGATACACAGTTGTCGCTAGCTGAACTGCCACCGGAACTGCAAACCACACTCATAGGGGTCATTCAGGGTATTTGAAAAACTTCAAAAAAGAAATAAGCTCAACAAAAGCAAAGTGAAACAAAAACAATTTGCAAACTAATAAAGGGAGAAAACTGTTCGAAGAAATTCAAACTCTTTTTAATAAGTAGGTCAGGACTGGCCATCTGAGAAAGAACAATGCATGGACAGTGCTGAAGGCTATGAACACTCCCTTCGAAACCAAAGATACCTAGAGAGGTTTAATAGTGGCTGGTAGCATGGATAATAGAAGTGTCCATGCTGATAGTTTTTTGAAATTTTCACTCTACTTCATGCACATATACAGAGTGGAGATGGCAGTCAGTAGCAGGACAGAAAAAAAAACAACTGAGAACTCAAAAAGAAATTACCATTCAGATACCGTCCAGAAAATATGATACTAATATGTACGGAGCTGGTCAAATAGCTCATTGCATAAAATATTCATCATTACAAATGTATGATAATCTTTTGAGCAAATTTGACTCCGACTGCTGTTCAAACAAACAAAATGGCACGTGATAACTCATATTGGATATCCTTAATTCAATCCTAAAGAAATTAGTTTAGTGAATCAGTATCATCAGTGATTTCAACTTACTACACTCCAAACACTTCCTGATATTGACACAGGCAACCCAACTAAAGGAAGATAGTAAAAATTGTAATCGTAGGCCGGGATATTACATGATTTTGTCATTAAAATATTTGCAGTTTTATAGTGCAAACCGAACTATCACTGACCTTCATTTCAACTCTTAAATTACTTAAAACTGTCGCCTAGTCTTCCCTAACCGATATCCAAACATTCAATAGACATCGAATTTATTAACAAATTGGAGTGTCTAATAAAAACACCATTCGCGACACTTCTAGGGAAAGAACCTCTAAATTAATAAAATCATATATAAATTTTCGTCTCAGCTGAGCGTGTTTGTTTATTCACCTGGAAATGCCTGAGAACTTGCCATCTGATGTGGCTCTGCTTACCTAGTCAAAACTATCAGCAAGTTTTCTCTACCCACACATTTAGGCGACAACCATGGCGGAGCGCTCGGTGTCGTGCGCGTTGACTTTTATTTTTGTTGCTTTGTCAGCGTGTTCACTCGGTTGGTGTTCACTTCCTGGTCAACAGGAATTGCTCACTTTCCAACGATCTCACAGCTATAACGATACCAAATCAGATTTGATATTCCTGGTCGATGTATCTGGAAGCTTAATGCACTATGTGTACCAGAATGGACGATACCACGTCAAGAACGGCTTCGACGACGAAAAAGTGTTTGTTAACTCTTTGTTGAACTACATTCGAATAAGTCTTCCAGCAACGCGAGTGTCTGTTATCCTCTTCAGTACGAAAGCTTCTATTGACATTAACTATATCAGCCACTTAAGTCCAAATAACCATAAATGCAACTTCAAAATAGCGTTCCAACGTCTTCCATTTCGCAGTGGAATGACAAACATGAATCAAGCTTTTCATCTTGCTAACGACATCATCTTTGGAAGACTTAGCGGTTCCAAAAGGCCAACAGCTGTGGTCAAGACAGCCATTTTTCTGTTGACCGATGGGAATTGGAACGACGGCGGCAGTCCATATTCCATGGCTCAACAGCTACGTAATAAAGGCATTGAGATATTTGCTATTGGTGTCACAAATGGCATTGATTTTAATGTTCTCAATAGGATAGCATCCTCGGGAAGGGCATTCAGATATAGCAGTTTCAATCAGTTTCGCAAGATGGCCTACTATCTTAGAGGAGGTATGGTTGTCCTGGATAGGTTTGCGATTTATCTTTTTCTGTACTGTTTTTAAACTTGTAAACTTTATAGCCCTGTTTTATTTCCAGATCCATATGAAAAGGACTGGCTCATTGAGTCTAAAAGTAAATGCAGCAATTGTGATCCGAAGGCAAAGTGCGCATGCGGTCTTCTAAGTGGAGAGTACAAATGCGCATGTCCACTGGGTTACTATGGATCCGGCTATGTTGGAGACTGTAAACGTAAGTGGAACCTAGGGAACCTCATGCAAAGATAGCCGAGCGGAGTCTGGTTATGAAATTTGGTAACTAGTACCATAAGGAATAAGTTAAACGCAGAAACCTTCAAGAAGGTCAAGCTCACCAGACCCCGTGATTTAATTTTCTCTGTCAAAAGCCAGCAAGTGTAGATAACTTTGTCATTCTCTGATTTCAGGTTGTCCTGTGTCGACATACAAGTCATTTGTTGGATTTGCTAAGACCTGTACCGAGTGCCCAGAAAACTCCATCCATTCTAGACAAGGAAGCTATAAAAAGAGTGATTGTAAATGTAAAACTGGTCATGATGGCAATCCAGGAAACGATTCTCCTTGCAAGAGTAAGGTCATCTTTCATTTCTTACTAAAGTAGAATAACACAGTAAGAATAGTCTGAGATGCATAGTTGCTTTTCTGCCCGGGGGGGGACTCCCTTATATCAAAGGGCGGGGGTCCTCGGCGGAGATTGTGAAAATGACCCCTAAAAGGGACCTCTATTGTGAGATGATGGGCGTGGCAGTGCTGAAATTTCAACCCTAAAAGGGACCAATCAATAACAAGTCATTTTGTTTTGGTTTACCGATTTTATTTGTGTTTTTACACAATCATCGAACACCGTCGGCTCGTATTGAGTTTATGGCGACGTTGCCATTTTATGACTGCTTAGGGTCGCCGTATACCCTAACAGGGGCCACAAAACACAGTTGGTAGGAATTCTTGTCATGATCACCCTAAGCGGGACCAAAATACTAATTTCAAACCCTAAAAGGGACGCCGAGGACCCCCGCCCTTTGATATTAGGGAGTCCCCCCCGGGCTTTTCTGATGATCAATAAGTTAAAGTAGTCGACGGTTGCATTAACTAAAAATAAACGTTATGTCACAGAGCAAGAGGGTTAGAAAAGTTACTGTTGTTTATGAGCTAAGTTGTTCCTACGTCCTATTGATGTCATTTGTTTTTTCAGTCTTAGATTGTGGTAAACCTCCTGTCCCAACGAATGGAAAGATAAGAGGGGGGACATGCAAGGCGACTCACTATTTAAGTACTTGCGAGGTAGTGTGCAATGAAGGGTATGAGCTAAGTACTGGATCAGGCTTAAGAACATGTCAACTGGATCAATACGGTAACGCACACTGGAGTGGGAATGACCCGACATGCAAAGGTGAAGAATTTATAACACATTGCCTTCATTTCTATTTGACTACATGCTTATGAAGAAAACAATTTAAAAACCTTATTGCGTGATAAAATAGCTTATCAAATCTTTTCCAACGGAGTCATAGAGTGGTGTCGCAACACAGAACTTGCCTGAATTTCTTTTATGATATTTCGTTTTTACTTGTTTCTTATTCTTTTGGAAATAAAAAGAGGAAGAAATCAGTGTCAATGTTGTACATCGTAATAGTCTTCTTGACGGTTCCCTGCGCCATCTTGAAAGGTAGCCATGCCCCCTTTACATCGAAGCGAGACAACCGTTGAGCGTGCAATGATAGATATACCTGTGAATAATTGTCTGTCAGGTGTTAAAGAAGGTTTCTATCACTGCACGCTCAACGTTCGTCTCGCTTCGATAAAAATGCACGGCTACCTTTCAAGATGGCGCAGGGAACCGTGAAGAAGACTATACAATCAAATTGTTATAGTTTTATTCTGACATATAATGATATTTCTTTTATCGTAGAAATAACCTGTCCTGCACTAAGAGTTCCCAATGCTTATCCCGAGGAAGGAACATGTGTTCCCATAAGTCGCGCATATAAAACCAAGTGCACCATTAAGTGTAAAACTGGATACATACTTAAAGGAAGTAACGTCAGAACATGTCAGTTGGACAAAACGTGGTCTGGGCAAACAGTTTGTGAAGGTATAGGACTTTATCGAGTTGTCTTTTCTGTGCTGTTTTGGTTTTTAAATTTAGCAAACGAATTTTCATCTGTAAGCTTGTTAGTGTTGTTCAGTTCTGCTTGAAGTCTGATCTTATAATCAGTAGCACAAGTGGGGTTAAGAAAAGGAAAAGGTTTTACTTACGTTTCTTTTTTTATTTTAAAAGAGGTCCGCTGTCCAAAACTAAATTCAATACCGCTGACTCAAGTAAATCCGGCGGAGTGTGTTGAGAAAGACATGCGTTTCTTTAAACAATGCTCTTTTACTTGTCCCAATGGATACGTCATGAGTGGAACATCAAAACGAGGTTTAGTTCGTTCCTGCAGTGTCAGTGGTCAGTGGGATAATCAGGATCGCACTTGCGTTGGTAAGACATTTGCACAAGACCTATTAAAATAGTATACCAACCTCGCCAAAAAGTGACAATTTATTCTGCTACGACAAAACAATTTACTTTAACTCTTATTTTACTTTTTTAACTAAAAAGATCCTTCCATCCATGACACGGATTTAACAGTTATTATACAACAATTATGATTTTGTATTTCAGACGTAACCCCACCAACTATTAAATGTCCGTTTGACACAAGTTTAATCATTAGAAATACATCATTTCGACTACCCCACGCTATCGTGTCCTGGTCTCCGCCAGTTTACAACGACAACTCAGTAGAAGCTGATCCACTGGCTGATTTGACTCTGATTTCCAGTTTTACCTCTCCACATAATTTCAAAATTGGACAGACAAAAGTTACGTACAAAGTTCGAGACAAAGCTAAGCTTGAAAACTCCTGTACCTTCATTGTACTTGTTAAAGGTATGTGCTACTGTAAAAGACGTTCCGTCACCTGGGCCATGATGCATTTGTAGTTGCTTTCATCAGAGAACAAGGTCTTGTGCAGCATATAAACAACTCCCTGGCCTTTGCATTTAACGTCAAAACAGCTCAGATCAGTCATCTGGACGACAAAACATGAAACTAGAACTAAAATCCAACAATTGATAATGACAATAATTATAGCATGCATGCGTACCGATAACATTGATGATGATGATAATGATGATGATGATGACATTTTCTATAGATAAGGAAGCACCACAGATGACGTCATGCCCCAAGGACCAAAGCCACGAGCTGGTTGGTCAAAGCAAATTACGAGTCACGTGGAACACACCTACGTTCACAGATAATTCCGGTCTACAAGTAACGGTGGAACCGGACATCAGACCTGGTACAGAACTGCCACTAGGAGACCATATTGTTCACTACACGGCTAAAGACGAATCAAACAATGCTAACTATTCTTGTGAATTCAAAATTTCTATCAAAGGTAACTTTTAGATCTATAGTTGACAATTTGTTGATTCATAAAGTACTGAACTTTTACATTTATAAGCTGTCCATTGTCAGTAAACAGTTGTGTAAAAAGATGAATTTAACACCGTAAAAAAGTAGAAGGTGAAATAAATAAGATATTTTACCTACTTTTATTTACGTTGATAAATTTATATTTTTATGCAACTGTTTCTTTAGAAACACCGACGCAGCTCACACTAGTTTACCGCTAGTTCCCGCCATTGTCAATAAAGACAATAACAAAACTTTATTTTTTTATGATCAAGCTAAGACATGTCCAGTTACAAAGCCACCACGCAATGGCGCTTTAGCCTGCAATGCCTTCGGGGCTGCCAATAGYTACTGTCAAGTTAGCTGTAACAACAAATATGACTTTGCTGAGCCTCCTGGAGGAGTRTACCTGTGTTCCAATGGCCAATGGCAAGCCTTCCCGGCTGGAAAACCMTTTCCCTGGCCAGACTGTTCAGGTATTGTCGCTACCACTACAGTACTAAAAAAGTTTTAGTATGAATGGCAAATGGGTTTCCTGTGTTGTACACGGACGGACACCACTGGAGGCGAACTAGTCGCCTGCGTACCATAAAAAAATCGATATTAAGCAGGTTTACCATTGGTATAGAACTCTACATCTACTTATCATATCAATACTACAARTAATAATAATAAATAAAAATGATTACAATTCATGAAATCCCGTTGCGGTCGGATTRACGAAAAAATAGAATTTATTTTCTATTTTTCGTTGCGTTTCAGTGCGATATGACCCTGAAAAAGCAGGATTTCGCATGCAAACTGCCTTCTACTACTACGAAGGAGATTGCAATACCCCAGACGCACAGAACCAAATCAAGAACAATTTCATGAATCTTCTCCGCTATACCGGCATTTTGGCCATGTTTGGAAAGACGTGCTCCGAAGCCGAGTGCACAGCTGAAAATATCAACGTGTATTGTGGTGATACTGATGCCAGTAAGAGACGAAGACGAGCTGTTKCTAAAGAATTGTATATCAAGGTACTGACCTCATGCCAAACTAAAGTATTGCTACAATGTAGCTTGAGACATGGATATTTATATATATATATTGATGTATATAAGAGAGTCTCAATGGGGTTAACCGTGAGCCGTGAAACGGCTGAAAAATTAGCCGTTAGTCGTGAAAATGCGAAAAAATTAGCCATGAGGCGGGATATTTTTTTATAGCGTGAGCCGTGATTCCGTTTTGTCCCTCAGAAGGACAGTCAACTCCGATGCAGGCGCGCACTTGTTATTTTTTTTGTAAATTTTTTTGTCAATGCTCTATTCGAAGAGTAGCTCATTTAGTGCATCTTAATTGAGCGGGAGCCTGCGTCACGCTAAGTGTGGCAAGAAACTAAATCTGCTCGAAATAGAACGTTACAATGTTGAATCGACATCTTTTTTTAGATTGCTAATAAAGTTATAAAATATTTTTTAATTCTTAGATAGTATTTTTGGGATTTGTTTTGTACATTTTAAAACTCCC